GAATGCCGTGCAAATAATTAAACAAAAACCATACAATTTTCATAGAAATATATTTTTTATTCACCTTTTCTATTAATTATTTATGGGACATGTGCTTTTATTGAAACATCAATGTACATAAAATTTTTGTAAATAATTTTTCATTTAAATATATAGTTAATTAAGCTAGTTATTACCACAAGAAATTTTAGTTTTACAGGGCAGATTTATAATCTGGCTGTCTTAATAATTTTATCGGTTTAGTTTATTGGTGAAATACTAAACTAAATTTACTTGAAAAATTATCTTTTACTATAGTTCCTATATGTTAAATCATAAAATTCTATCAAGAAAATGCTAAATTAATTGTTGTATCAGTTTTATCTCGAAACCATTTTGATTTCTCAATCAAGATTTATTTTTTTAAATCACTAAACAAAAAAATTAAATTTCCTATAAAATGAAGTTATTTTTTATTTATATAAAAAAGGACAATTTAAATGAAAAGCCTTGATTGAGAATTTTTTAAAAAAAATCGAGTAAAATTGATACAAAAAATAATTGTTTGATTGAAAAATTGAGACTACCTGTAATTAGGAGTGCTTTTCAAGTTTGTCCTAAAAAAATCATCACAGGTCACAATCTACGATTTCTCTGGGAAAAGTTGTTTATGAAAAAGAAAAAGTACAAAACAATGAGAGGCACCATGCAGCAAAGCAAAAAACTTGCACATATAATAAAAAAATACGTCCTCGCGATCCTGGGAATCTCATTTAGGGCAAAAAGATCTCTACAAAATCAAACAACAAATATAAAATAAATTACATACAGCACAAGTAACAAGCAGTTGATCTGGATAAGGTAAACTAACACCAACAGCAAAAATCACAGGTTTCTGTGGCAATTCAGTGCCTCACTTCACATTTCATTGTTAATGATATCCCGCATCATCTGTAATGGGATGAGCCCTTCTGTCCGAATCGCGTCCTTGTTCGGATCTGGACTAATGAAAAACAAGGTCGGCAAACCTCGAACCTGAGCACAAACCAAGTCTCTAGAAGATTAAGTTGTGGTTTCATTGATTGCAATAGAAATGTTATCTCCAAACATCACAAAGAAAAAGGGTGGTGTTAAAATTTTACAAGATCACATGAATTCACACATGTAGAAAATATGCATGCAACAGAGTGTTACAGGTTTTTTTCTTTATATAAAAAAAAAGAAAGGAAAATGAAAATGATGTTTGAAAAGTACCTGCATGTCTTGTGCAAATTCATATTCATCATCTGTATCAACCTTAACAATCATCACATTGCTCTCATATTCCACAGCTAGCTGCAAAGGTGAAAGCAATTGATTAAAAATAGTGTCACACCTCTGTCATTTCCATACATTACATTAATCAAGTGAAATCCATATATAAAGCAGCTCCGTTTGACTTGGATGGAAATATACATGTAACAAGTACACCACGTCTGGCACTGATTATTAGTTTAGTTTTTGGAGGATGAAAACCTTTCGATGGATTTAACAATTTTAACCACAGAAAAAGTTTGTGCTGCTATCCACAAGCATCGCTTCTAGAAAGGAGCGAACAATCAAACGTCATGTTCTCAGTGAGAGAAAGGCTGCATGGAACAACAGATAGCATGAACATCATCTGCTGATCTACTTTTGCATCAATCAGACTCAGCTGCAAAGCAGACAGTGCAGGAGATATGATTCCATTTCGTTAAGCTGATATTAAATATAGTTATTTGGTAAGAGGTATTGTAGTACATTCATTACTCAAATAGCAATGGTTACACCGCATGATCTACTACTCTCCGCTACTAGTCTTTACTGTAGAGTTTGATTTCTAACAAGATTTGAGGTCATTTTCCTTATCCTGAACTACATGTTGGAAATGATAATGTGCAAGAAAGTGCATAAGACGGCCTTGAGGAATTAAAAGGTTTGGATGTTTATGGGATTTTGCTTAAAGTGTGTGAATCCGCTTGATAACACTTCAAAGGAAAGTGAAAAGGAGAATCTTGTAGCCTTAACAAGTGTAGTCACACACCATAAATAAAAGTTAATGGATTTCCAAAAATTTGATTTCCTGAAACTGTCCAATGCATTCTTGCCTTTCTATCCCTGGCAAGTGAGTTTCTAATCCATTCTTATGATCAAGAAATTGATTAAAATCCTTTCTTCAACATGCCCTCCAGATTTAAGCATGTGATGGCAAATCTTGTGAGCACCTTCCTAGCCAACTCATTAGTTGTATGCAAATTAAGCACCATGTAAATTTAAGTCTACAATATTTGAATCAAATATCCACATCAAATCTGACATGCTCCATCCAATCTCTTCTATCAGAGAATCAAGCAATCCAAACCGTTTTTGAGAATTCTAAATAGCACCTGACAGGGAAAACCATGCCATTTGGACTGTTAACAAGAAAACTTATGAGTGATCACTGCATGTGCTCTATAACTCTATACGCACTTTCTTCAGTCCCTTTCTAAAATACGTAGAGGCTTTGCCTTTGCTTGACTGAATTTGTCATAGCACCCGGTCAAATTTCACTGGACCATGACAGAATGATATCCTGTCATGGTCCATTAAATTTGACCGGATGGTAGGACAAATGATCCACCATTAAAAGTTTGTACCTTTGGTGGCTTTGAAGGTACTTGCTAACTCTATACATGCATTACCAAACTAAACTCAACTTAACCAAGCCTCATTATCAAGCTAATTGGGCTTGCCTTCATCATAGGGCTTGCGAGACATTACCTATAAATTCGCATCTTGACAAATGGAAAACCTATTCCAGAACCATATCTATCCCAACATTGAAAACTATTCCTATTGGTTACAAAAAGAAATGCACGAAATTGCAAGATAACTGAGAATAGAAAGCATCCAACTCATCGAAATAAAGATTTGGGGCATACCATTTCAAGTTCTTGGGCCATCAAAACACAGGGTCCACACCATGTTGCATAGAAATCAATAACAAGGGGCACTTTTCTTTCTCCCTTTACTAGCTCCTGTATCTCCTCAGCTGACAACTTTTTCTGCCACGCCCACAATTAAACAACAGATACATCATATTTACAAAATCCAACAACATCCCACAAGCAAACAAAGCCACTCAAAAACTCCAATTCTCTCTTTATTTCTGTTTACCACTTTGCCAAATGTTGGTATAACACAATTAAAGCCAAGTCTCAATATATATATAAAAAAGAAGAAGAAGAATTCATGGAATTACTTTTCTTTCCCTACATTTCTAAGAAACCAAGCAGAATACAAGCTAAAAACAAGCCAACAACACAAAACAAAGACAACATGAGATTATATAAAGGAAAAAAGAAGAAGAAAAATTAAAGGATATTATATACCACAAGATAGTCTTCTCTAATGTACTTTCCTTGAGGGGGTCTGCAGAGAAGTCTTCTTTGTTGTGTAGACAGTGAAAAATGTCTCTTCTTGGGTGTGCTGGTGATAGAAAAAAGAGAGTTTTCTTGATGGGTTTTGAAAGAAGACTGAGGAGATGAAAAAAGAGGTAGGAAAGAATGTGATTTGAAGGTGGATGGTAGGGTTCTTATGCGAAGTGAGTGGGTTTGGAGCAAGGCCATTTGTGAGAGATGGGGA